CGCCAACTTCTACGCCGTTCAACTGGAATGTCTGGAAGGAAAATAGGTTTTTAAAGGTTTTCCATGTTTGTAGAACGGAGGCTCCAATCTGAAGAAAGACGCCAGTGGACAGAACAAAAGGACGAAACGCAGGAAGGACAGTTCTGACTCTCAGCACAGCGAGAAAGCCAAAAAGTCTCGCAAGAAGAAGCCCAAGAAAAGCAAAGAAAGGAACGAGGAGTCGAAGAGGACGAGTTCGCCGTCGCACACGGTGTCCGACCCGGCGCTCTCAGACTCGGAGGAAGACTTCTCACTGTGTGCCGCGCCGTGGTGCAGAGAGCCTGAGGGGGACGAGGTACGTCTGCTCTGTCGTTAGCATTTCAGTTTTTTATTCAGCGCCTTCAATATTTACAGCTGACGGTGTCCTTCTGGTTTCAGGTAAACTGGGTCCAGTGTGACGGTAACTGTAACCAGTGGTTCCACCAGGTTTGTGTTGGACTGTCTGCTGAGCGAGCGGAGAAGGAGGACTATGTCTGCATAAGCTGCACACAGCCGGATTACGACAGAGGGGAGTGACGACCAAAAAGGATGAGCAGTCATTTTTACACAAGCTGCAGCACTTAAACTGAACTCTGTGCTAGCTGCGGCTTCTCCTCTTTAACCCTCTGGCTTGCCCTCAGTGAAAATGGTGCTAGTTTTTTTTTTTGGGTCACTTGGCTGTTTTTTTCAGCTAATCCTTTATGAAACTTTCCACGACTGGACATGTTGGTTTAAGGAAAACCAATGGCGCAGGGATTTTTGTTTTTGGTTTATTTTCCAACCAAAAAAATGTCGTTTTGACATTTCATAACAGTTTCTCCTTAGTCCTACATCTGAACAATGTGAGCCTGATCTGTTCCTGTAGGGTAAATATTATTTATCAGAGCAATAGCTGAACAGATTGACATTCAGCTGCCATCTGAACTATGTTTGTCTGTAGAAGAGGCCTTCCTGAAGAATCACCCTCACTGATCCTAAAACGTCACTCAGTACCGTAGATATTTGTGCCCCTCCCAGCTCTTTATCTCCGACAAGTGCAGAAGTTTGCACCCGATCATTTGGCCGCATCCCCTAACGGTTAACTGGCGTTCATATGAAGTCGGCTTTCCTTTTTTTTGCGCTGTCTGCAGAGGAAGAGGAAGTTTCCTGGAAAAGACTCGATGATGTTCACAGAGTGGGAATGAACTCCCCCGACATCAGAGGAATGTACATTTAGTTTTTTGGGTGAGCTTTCCTTTTATGGTTGAGGTTGAAAATATTGTGTTGGATTTAGATTTAACAGACTGTGTGATTTATTTACTATGGATATATGACCTTTTTCTTGCTCCTTTGGATAAATAATATAATTCATATGTTGCAGTTTGCATTATTAAATAAAATGTTTTTTCCCATATATGTATATATATAGATGTAGGCTCTTTATTTCTCTCAGATTGAATGACTCATTTTAGCTTTATGGAGGCTAACAAATGACACATCTTATAAAATAGATCAGGGGTAACCAATTAAAAACCAGCGGGGTCCGAATAAAGAAAATCAACAACTAGTAAAGGTCTGGAGATATTTTTAATTAGAATGTGTTACTTTAAACAGAATTTGACACTGAAATAAAATAAGGTTTTTATGCATCCATGTTACATTGAATTTTTTAATTTAAAAAAAAATCTATTTTAAAATCTAAAGTGTTTTTTAAAGTAGAGAACAAAAATCATTCAGTTTGGTATATAGGCAATTCACTGATTCACATATTTATAAAACACCTGACAGTTTGTTATTTTTCTTTCTTTTTTTATGGCTTAATGAGAGAACTGCGCTTTATGCTGCCCTGCAAGGCTTTTCTTGTTTTTGTTTTCTTTTTTTATTCTGTTCATGGTGGAGAATCCTGCTTCACAGCAGCAGGTTGAGCCAAACATCCTCTAAATGTGCAGGGTCATCTTTGAGCACGCCATTTCCCCTTTCTTTCACTAGTTCATGAGGGCTTTACCAAATTAACAGGAGAAGCGGCACAAGTGAAGTTAGTCACTTTCCTCAGACAACATACGGTAATTTATAAATGTTTTAAATCTGGTTGGGTCCAGATTAGGCCTAGTGGTTAAAGCAGTGAGCTTGTGCTCTGAGACGGTTGCAAGTACCTGGTTTGATCCCCACAGCTTTCACTCTGGGTCCCTGAGCAAGACCCTTAACCACATGCTGCTCCTTGGGTGCCACACAATGACAGCCCACTGCTCCCCGAGGGGATGGGTTAAATGCAGAGAGTTAATTTTGTTCCTTTGTACTTGATAATCTAATGACAATAAAAGCTGAATTCTATTCTATTCAAATGGAAAAGACAACAGGTGGGAATTATTGGTAATTAGCAAGACACACTCGATAAAGCAGTGCTTTTGCAGGTGGGAACCACAGACCACTTCTCAGTCCCTCTGCTTTCTGGCTGATGTTTTAGTCACCTTTGAATGTTGGTGATGCTTTCACACTCATGGTAGCATGAGATGGACTCTGCAACCCACGTACGTGGCTCAGGTAGTGCAGCTCATCCAGGATGGTACATCAATGCCAGCTGTGTTCCTCCTAATTCAGGACTGTGCTAGACTTCATGTGTCAGCAGTTCCTGCAAGAAGAAGGAATTGAAGCTATGGACTGCCCCGTCCATTCTCCAGAGCTGATTCTGATTAAGCGCATCTGGGACATTGTGTCTCGACCCATCCACCAACGTCAGGTTGCACCACAGACTGTCCAGGAGTTGGAGGATGCTTTGATCCAGGTCTGGAGACCACCTACAACCTCATCAGGAGCATGCCCAGGCGTTAAAGTTGGGAGCCGTCTCCAGTCTTTTTTTCCGCTTTCATTTGGTGTGTGACTCCAAATCCACGCCCCTTTTGGTTAAAGAACTTGATTTCCACTGAACATTTTTATGTGATCTTGTCAGCACATTCAGCTTTGTACAGAATAAAGTATTAAATGAGAACATTTTCTTCATTCAGATCCCTATATATATATAATACATGTTATATATATCTACATATTTAAATATCTCCCAATTTCTCCCACATCCTTTGCATGTAGGGTTAGGGTTATTTAGGTCCTGAGCACCAAAGCAATAAAGGCCCAGATCTACCACACCAGACAAGACCCCAGGTGCAGACTGTGCAAAAAGGCCCCTGAGAAGATCCAGCACATAGCTGCAGAGTGTAAAATGCTGGCAGGGAAAGCTTACATGGAGCGCCATAACCAAGTGGCTGGAATAGTATACAGGAACATCTGTGCAGAGTATGGGTGAGAAACAGAGAATGATATAGCCAGGATCCTGTGGGACTTCCAGATACAGACGGACCGAATGGTAATGGCAAACCAACCGGACATTGTGGTGGTGGACAAAAAGCAGAGGAACGCTTTTATGGTTGACATAGCGATACCAAGTGACTGCAACATCAGGAAAAGGGAACATGAGAAACTAGAGAAATACCAGGGGCTCAGAGAAGGGCTGGAGAAAACCTGGAAGGTCAAGGCATCAGTGCCACCTGTGGTCATTGGGGCCCTCGGGGCAGTGACCCCTAACTTGAAGAATGGCTACAGCAGATCCCTGGAAACACATCAGACATCTCGGTCCAGAACAGTGCAGTTCTAGGAACAGCAAAGATACTGAGCAAAACCCTCAGGCTCCCAGACCTCTGGTAGAAGACCCCAGCTTTGAGGAAAAAAGGGGGAAAGACCACCTGCGATGGGGGAGGAAGAGTTTTTTTTTTTATGTTTATATTTTGCAGGGTAGTGTCAGACTAGTGGTTAGGGCGGAGGTCTTCAACAGGGGGCCCGCAACCCTTTGGGGGTCTAGAGGTACTGCATGGGGGTCACGAAAGTTTTGGTTGATTAGACTTTTTTTTTATATTTCCCCCTGCAGTTTTTCAACTAACTGAAATGTATTTAAATACACATTAACATGAATTCAACACATTCAGAGACACACAGGAGCTCTTTCAAGCTGGGCACCGTCTTATTCACAACACCTGTCCCATCAACCAGGAGTCAGATCAAGACCCTTAACCCCACATGGCTCCCAAGGGGATGGGTTAAATACAGAGGTAAATTTCGCCAATGTGAGATCAATGAAGTTCATTTATTTTATTCTATATGTATATATATATATATATATATATATATATATATATATATATATATATATATATATATATATATATATATATATATATATATATTTGTTTGTCTGCATGTATGCATTGTACATTGAAAAAGAGACATTAATTATTTCCAGCTTTATTAACTTCAGCACCTATTTAATGATGATTTAGGACATTCTTGAAGTACTTCATTCTAACAGATGCTTCAGCAGCATTTCTGTAGAAATGCTACAGAATATGTCTGTAAAATGATGATCAGATGATGTTAAATCAACCTCTTTGGTTTTTGACCAAAAAAAAAACAAAAAAAAGTTTTTATTTTATCTCAATATTTATTGTCCATTAGAAATAAATGAAATAAATAAATCACAGCTACTTTTTACACTGCTTTCCTAGATCTGCCAGTAAATGTATCTGTAAACCTGCAAAATTTAGGTTTACACTTTTACACTCTACAATCCATCTCGGTCAAACACTCTCAAGAAGGGAAAGTTTTTGCTTCCTTTAAATTAATACATTTCATCACTAATATTTGTGGTGCTACAAAATTCTGTTTTATGTTTGATTTTCGCCGATTCCCATTTTATTCATTTACAATGGAAACAATTGAACATTTACCTGGTTTCACTACATATTTAATACTCAATAGTTTTTTTTTTTTTGTTAGCTATCTCTTTAATAAATTTGGTAATGAATATTCAAAGATTTAATCAATAAAAAATTACCGTCTCTCGCATTAATTTAAATAAATTGAATTGAATCTTAAATTGTGATAGCACGTTAAGTATAATGAGCCTGTGAGTCAGTAATCAGGGAATAGCCTCAATCTCTACTACTCTGACGTCACCGTGTCGCCATCTTGATCCGTTTGTTGTTAGCTTACCTGCTAAAGTGGCTACATTTAGCAGCATCTCCCTCCTGCAGCTGGGTCACTTTGGTTGTAGCCTCGCCGTTTCTTCCCGTCGTCATGGACGAGGAGTATTACGGCAGTGCGGGGGACTGGGAAAGCTCGGACGGACCCCTGGTGAGAGCGGGACTCGGTTCTGCTCGGCTTTTATGGCCGAACAGTCGGTTAGCATTAGCTTGTTAGCATAAATAAAAACACTCCCAATTTATGGTACTTTCCTTGATAATTATGACGCCACAATAAATCATATTTGTAATTTATTTCTAAATATGTACTTTTATTGTCGGGTAACGAGTTAAAATTGATTTTACGGAAGAGGATTAGGGCCACTGAAAATATATATTTTTTAAATTTTTACATTCTATTTCAGTATAATATGAGAAAAAAGTCAGAATTCTGACTTTTTTTTCTCACAATTCTTATTTTAATGTCACAGTTCTGACTTAAATCTCACTATTCTGACTTTTTTCTCATAACGCTGACTATAATCTCACAACTCTGACTATAATCTCACAACTCTGACTATAATCTCACAACTCTGACTATAATCTCACAACTCTGACTTTAATCTCACAACTCTGACTTTTTTCTCACAACTCTGACTTTTTTCTCACAACTCTGACTTTTTTCTCACAACTCTGACTTTTTTCTCATAATGCTGATTTTAATCTCACAACTCTGACTTCTTTAATCTAACAATTCTGACTTTTTTCTAACAATGCTGACTTTTTTCTCATAATGCTGACTTTAATCTCACAATTCTGACTTTAATCTCAAAACTCTGACTTTAATCTCAAAACTCTGACTTTAATCTCAAAACTCTGACTTTGATCTCAAAACTCTGACTTTGATCTCACAACTCTGACTTTAATCTCAAAACTCTGACTTTAATCTCAAAACTCTGACTTTAATCTCAAAACTCTGACTTAAATCTCACAACTCTGACTTTTTTCTCACAATTCTGACTTTTTTCTCATAATGCTGACTTTAATCTCACAACTCTGACTTTAATCTCACAACTCTGACTTCTTTAATCTCACAACTCTGACTTCTTTAATCTCACAACTCTGACTTTTTTCTAACAATTCTGACTTTTTTCTCATAATGCTGACTTTAATCTCACAATTCTGATTTTGATCTCACAACTCTGACTTTAATCTCAAAACTCTGACTTTGATCTCACAACTCTGTCTTTAATCTCACAACTCTGACTTTAATCTCACAACTCTGACTTTAATCTCACAACTCTGACTTTAATATCACAATTCTGACTTTAATCTCACAACTCTGACTTTAATCTCACAACTCTGACTTTAATCTCACAATTCTGACTTTAATCTTACAACTCTGACTTTAATCTCACAACTCTGACCTTTTTCTCAAAATTCTGACTTTAAACTCAGAATGTTGGATCTTAATGTAGATGGGAACAATGAAGGCAGAGATGTGGGAGCACTCAGCTTCAATGACAAAGATGTGAGTTGTTTGGGAGGGCCAGTAACACATTGGTGGAAAATGATGGAATTAGGCAACTTTTTACGTGTCTGAGGGGTCCCTGGTGGTGCTATTTCATTAATGGAAGAGCAGAAGGTGATTAAAACAAGAGAGCTAGTTTAGTCTCTAGACATGGCTACGGCTTGATGCTAACATGTTTGTTAGCTGTCAGAATTCATTCAGAATTCTGAGATGAAAGTCAGAATTCTGGCTTTTTCCTCATATTATACTGAAATAAAATTAAAAAACATCTGATTTTTTATTTTTTTTCCAGTTGCCCTAATCCTCTTCCGTATGATTAGCACTGAAGACAGCTGTAATATTTTGTCCTACATCAGTGATCAATTGTATAAAATGACATAAACAAATATTGGAAAGCCTGTAGTGATAATCATGTCTGTCCAACCTTAGCTCCTATACAGCCTAATGATTGCTGAAGAGGTAGCATCAAAAAGTGGAGCATGTTGTTTGGGGGTGAAGTATTAAAATATTTTAAGTAAGACCTCAAATCCACATTACCAGGAAAGGCTGTTTCTCTACCTACTTGCAGAAATGTGATTTGGTTTTATGTATGTTGTGATTATTCCATATTATTTATTTGTGGGGTTCAAAGTTGTTTATAAATTCACTAATCAATAATAAGACTTGTTGGTGAAATCTAAGGTCTTGTTTAGGTTTATCAAATTTAGAAAACGCTAAGGAATTCAGTTTCATATTAACCTGGATTCTACTCACCTCTCTGCTGTCTAAAAACAACCTTCACACAATGTATGTAAACCAGAGGGATCCAAAGAAGTGTGTAACACCTGCACTGATCAGCTGGAGTTACATTAGTGGGGGATGCACTGAGGTACCTTCGCTCACTTTCAGTCTATCTGACAGATTTGTTATTGGATCTTGCAGGAGGATGGTTACGATGAAGAAAACGATGGGAAAGTTCAGGAGGACTGTTTGCAGAAATTCTCCAGCAGGGATTACATCATGGAGCCTGCCATATTCAACACTCTGAAAAGGTAAAGCGTGAATTTAACCTTCAGATTGCTTCCAGGTTGACACCTGACTCTGATTATCACCATACAACCTTTTTATTTACCAATACTGATATTGTTGTTTGTCCTCAGACCGACAGTCAGCCCATAATCTCCTATCTGCCTCTCCTATCCCTGTACTGTCTAACCGGGCAAAAAAACATTTTTATCTATTTCGTGGTTTTTACAAATATTTAAAATGACCAGAAGGGGGCGTAGTTATAGACAAAAGACGGTGCTGCTTGCTCTGTCACCATCATATCAACTTGTAAATAAATCTAATAAAAAAGAAAGTTTATGCTTGAATCCCCAATTGTCCAAAGAGGAGAGGGTTGAAACTCTTCCACGATGACGTAAAGACTCCTAATCAGAGGCTCTACATGGCTCCTGTTTCCCACAACCAGTTTTAAGATTAATTCCAGTAATTTACTGCGACCACATTTCTGGGTTAGAGAACAAGAATAAGCAGCTTTCACACATGTAAAGTCTCGTTAATTACTGTATTAGCTCTTTTCACACTTAACCAAACAACAGTGGATTGGATTTTCCTGATATCACCTGCAGGTGGCAGTAAAGAGACCGCTAATGGTTTAACAGATTTGGGAGAAGAGGAATTTCAGCCAGAAATTATGGCTGTTTCTCACTTCACGAGAACGCTCAAGAACGCATATTGTGAAACAGCCTATGTTAAACAGCATCGTGTCATATTGTGTTAGGCTGGTTCGGATAATTTTCCTGTAATAAACTAAATCATGGTTTTATAAATGATTAAAAAAACTAAAAACATAAGATCTTAAGGAAGGAAATGCTCTAACAGGAGGGAACAGCTACTCAGTTGTTTGAACAACTTTCATTGCAGATATTTCCAGGCTGGCGGCTCTCCAGAACACGTCATCCAGCTTCTCTCTGAAAACTACTCTGCTGTTGCACAGACTGTTAATCTGCTGGCGGAGTGGCTCATTCAGATGGGTGGGTAACAATTATGAAACAAGCATCGAAACAACCTCAAACAGGCTTAAATTAGAAAGCAACCGGACTGTTGCTCAGGTTTTTTTTTAAAGACGTTTTGACACCTATCCTTGAGTCTTTAGCCCCACTTACACTACCCTCTAGAAACTGATCCGTGCCAAGTTTGGATCAGTTAATTTTTCCTCACCTCCTAGTGGCGGTCTACGGTACTACTGCTCTCTAAAGGGAAATAAGCTAAACAAATGGCGGCGCCCGTAACATCCAGGAAGTTTGCGGAGAGTTGGGTGAAAAAGGCAGAGGATGAATTTACTTGACAGACTCGGCTTTTGGGAAGCGGATACGACAAATGATAGTCTAACCAGGGCTTAGAGACGCAGGAAACAAGACGGTGAGGTTCATCACGCTGCTAAGCAGAGTCATCACTGGAAATCATGTGGCACAGTAGGGAAGCTAGCAATGTTATGAATATCTGTAATTTCATGATTACAGAAGTTGACTTTAAGGAGATGACGCGGTCTGCTAATGCACTCTTTGTTATCTGAGAAATGAGTTGGACTGAACCACGCCGAGCCCTACTGATGAACTATTTATTTATTTATTTATTTAATCAGGACAGAGCACATTAATGAACAATCTTATACTTTTGTACAGATTGTAAATGAGCCAGATTATAGCATAGTTGCTCATTTACATCTGTCATCCTGAGGCAGGAAGACAAAACAACACAAGATCACATAATACATTACTACCAGTTTAGTGCGGTTGTGTCTGGCGTGGTCTGGTTCATTTGTGCGTACCAATAACACTCAACAGTTATCTCGGTTACAGTGCTCGGACCGATCTCGGTACTGTTTCAAAAGGGTTGTGTTAATTGGGCTACAAGAACTCCCATTTTGCTTCATAAGACCAATCACAGAGCCGATGCACAAAAAAAGGCTCAAACAATCAAGAACAACTGGTGGCTGTTCGATTAGCATCCGACTTGGAATGTGTGCAGGACAATAAACCTCCATGACTCTTAAATACATCAGTTTGCTCTGGTTTCCAGCCAACAGAACTGATAAAACTTACGGGATAGGTGAAGAAACATCTTCAAGAAAATCATTCCAAAAAAGTAAAAAAACAATCCACTGGACTTTGTTTCCAATTTTGAAGAAGTTTCGCTTCCCATCCAGGAAGCTTTTCCAATTAAAAATGTCAGAAATGGAGTGGAGTTCAAGACTTTTTAGAGTAGCCCAACATGTTTTGGCTTAGAAAACATGCAAATTGAACCAAAACGAGGATTTGTTGGTCCACTCTATAAAGCTTGGAACTCAACACTAATTCTGACATTCTGAATTGAAAAAGCTTCCTGGATGGGAAGAGAAACGTCCTCAAACTTGGAAACAAACTCCAGTGGATTGTTTTTTTTTATTGTTTTTATTTTTTTATGACTATGACCTGGATGATAAGGAATCTTCACCAGCATATCTTCAAGAGAAAAAAACAGTAAGCAAATGTCTGCTTGCCTTCCATTTTAAGCCTACTTGTGGTCGCCATGACACGGGTGAATCAGTAATGTGTGCCGTATTAATGACCTGTCACCAAACTGGGACTCGTTTTGTTTGGGCTGCAGGTGTAGAACCAGCTCAGGTCCAAGAGCGAGTAGAAAACCACCTCAAGAGTCTCCTGATAAAACACTTTGACCCCCAGAAAGCAGATTCCATCTTCACTGTGGAAGGAGAGGTGGGTTTGTTCTCCCAGCATCCAACAGGCCTAGTCTGAATGAACCGATCCAAATCTGTCTTCTTTGTGTTTAGACTCCTGCTTGGCTGGAGCAGATGATCGCTCACACCACATGGAGGGATCTCTTCTATAAGCTGGCAGAGGCTCACCCTGACTGCCTGATGCTCAACTTCACTGTAAAGGTACGGCAGCCCATAGGGGCGGAGCTTGCAGTGGTTTTCCTCTTTTTCTTTTAACCTGATATTGATGACAAACAGGTTAACCAGCTTGTTTATAATTTCCTCTGTTTTAACCTGGTCTCTGATGCTAAAATCGGTGTGCTTTATTGTACATTTTCCCATTAAACCCACAAATAAAAGGATTCTGTTGTTTTGTTTTTTTTTCTCGTTTGCGTTCAGCTCATTTCTGATGCAGGTTATCAGGGTGAGATCACCAGTGTTTCCACAGCGTGTCAGCAGCTGGAGGTGTTCTCCCGGGTGCTGAGGACGTCTTTGGCCACGCTGCTGGATGGAGGAGAAGAAAACCTGGAGAAAAACCTGCCAGAGTTTGCTGTGAGTCAAGTTCAGTTCCCTTCAGAAGTCGTAACAGGAAAAAAAGCCAGATGTAAGCTCTAATCCTTGCAGATTTCTTTCTGTAGAAGATGGTTTGTCACGGCGAGCACACCTACCTCTTTGCCCAGGCCATGATGTCCATCCTGGCTCAGGAGGAGCAGGGCGGTTCAGCTGTCCGTAGGATCAGCCAAGAGGTCCAGAAGTCTGCACATGCCAGGTACTGATTGAATTCTGGTTGGACGGCAGAATGCCTGACTCTGAGCTTGAATTTAGATAAAGTTATGGAAGGTAAGGGGAGCGTGTTTGTGTTAGATGTCAGCTCCAGCCATGCTGATGCCGTGTTTCTCCCAGGGGCCACGATGCCAGTCAGATCACCCTCGCTCTGGGTACAGCAGCAGCCTACCCTCGAGCCTGCCAGGCGCTGGGAGCCATGCTCTCCAAAGGAGCCCTAAATCCCGCCGACATCACCGTTCTCTTCAAGATGTTCAGCAGCATGGATCCTCCTCCAGTAGAGCTGGTAGAGATCAAACCTCTCCTACTTTCCTGCCTCCATCCATCCGATAACTGAACTCCGTTTTTCTGGCCTTTAGATCAGGGTACCGGCTTTCCTGGACCTGTTCATGCAGTCGCTTTTTAAACCCGGATCCAAAATCAACCAGGATCACAAACACAAATACATCCACATCTTAGCCTATGCTGCCAGTGTGGTGGAGACATGGAAGAAGGTACTGAAAGTTGTCAAGGATTTTTTATTTTTTTCCTGTTTTTCCTCCTTTCTTTAAATCCATTATAATGAAAATCTCAACTCTTTTCTTTTAAAATTAGAACAAGCGAGTCAACATTAATAAAGACGAGTTGAAGTCAACATCCAAGGCCATTGAGACGGTGCACAACCTCTGCTGCAACGAGAACAAAGGAGCCACGGAGCTGGTGGCTGAACTCGGCACTTTATACCAGTGCATCCGGTGGGTCACAAAGATCCTCACCATGTCCTCTTTCACTGCTCTGGGATCAGTTTTAGTTCAAGGTTTAGATTCCAGGGATCCTCTGATGATCATTCTTGTTTCCAGGTTTCCGGTGGTTGCTATGGGAGTCTTAAAGTGGGTGGACTGGACAGTTTCAGAACCCAGCTACTTCCAGCTCCAAACGGACCACACCCCGGTCCATTTAGCCTTACTGGACGAGGTAGGACGGCGTTTAGCTGACGGGGAGACTCCCATCCTTCAGATGAAATAAACTTTTCTCCCACTCAGATCTGCACGTGCCACCAGCTGCTGCATCCGCAGGTTCTTCAGCTGCTCATCAAGCTGTTTGAGACGGAGCACTCTCAGCTGGACGTCATGGAGCAGGTGGCTGGGGAACACTTGGGGCATTTTCAGATCTGCTGTTTGGTTTCTGGGCTGAACTCTTTGGTTTGAATTGTAGCTGGAGCTGAAGAAGACGCTGCTGGACCGAATGGTTCACCTCCTGAGTCGTGGCTACGTCCTGCCGGTCGTCAGCTACATCCGCAAGTGTCAGGAGAAACTCAACACGGACATCTCCCTCATTAGATACTTTGTCACCGAGGTAACAGCTGGGGGAGGGTGGAGCCTTATATAAGGAAAGCTAATGCCTTGATGTTTGTTCTAAACACTGAATTCATTCAGACTTGGAGCGTTTTATTAAACTCTGTCTTCATTTTCTAATTAAATTGAAATCAAACCTCACTTCTTCACAGTAATCTGTTCATTAGATGAGACAGAGATTTTAATATTTTCTTTAGTTCTCTGCTGGTGATGGGTTAATGAGGCATCTTGAACTGTATTGATACTCACTGAATACTGACACCTGCTGGACATTTACAGGCACTACATTTGACAGACGAAACTGAACTGATTTGATGACCTACACCCAATTAAAAATCAGCGAGGTCCGAATAAAGAAAATCATCAGCCAGTAAAGGTCCAGAGACATTTTTAATTATAATCTGTTACTTTAAACAGAATTTAACTCTGAAATAAAACAAGGTTTTTATGCAATATAATAATATAGGAAAAAAAAAAAAGAACGTTTTTCCATTTTAAAATCTAAAGTGTTTTGGGTTTTTTTAGTAGAGAACAACAATAATTCAGTTTGGTTTATAGACAATTTCCTGATTCACATATTTTATAAAACAACTGAACAGACCGTTTTTTTTTTTTTCATGGCTTAATGTTGGCAGTGGGCTTTATTCTGCCCTGCAAGGCTTTAAACCTGGGTTTAAATGGAGACTAAAGCACATATCAAGGAGCTCATTTTGAGCCTGGCTCCATATTTATTTTTTATTCTGTTCATGGTGGAGAATCCTGCTTCACAACAGCAGGTTGAGCCAAACATCCTCTAAATGTGCAGGGTCATCTTTGATCACCATTTCACTTTTCTTTCACCAGTTCACCACAGTTCTTCCAGCAGTCCACTCTTTCTCTGCTCTCTTTTTCTCATCATCTTCTCCTTCTTTCCCATCGCCCGGCTTGCCACAGGTTTGCCTGCTGCGTCTAAAAGTAGCAGCAGCAGCAACCCAGACTGACAGCTCATTGGCTAATTTGTATCACATGTAGCCTGGTCCCTAAGCGGTTTACCGTATTAACAGGAGAAGAGGCGCAAGTGCAGTTAGACTCTGCCATCACAACAGGCAGTAATTTATAAATGTTTTAAATCAGGTTGGGTCCGGTTCTGTTAATCAATTACCTCTGACCTATTTTAAGTTATTGTAGCTTATATTGTATTATTTCATATCTATGTTTAAATTGAAAATATATTTGATATTTTTAGATGCAGCCAATAAATATAAACATATTATCATAACATGAAAAGATAACATGAAAAGATGTGAATGAGAATACTTGGGAACCAGGTTTTTAAATCATAATTTTAAAACAATAAGTACATTAAAAACAGTAGAGTCAGAGTCGCTTTGAAATTAAATTAAATTCAGATCAGTTGAGTGATAACTGAGAGTATGACATAACGAGAAAATTAGAATAAAAATGCTATTCCTTTTAGGCTCCAAAATTCTTGATAATTTTAAAGTTAAACCGTAAAAGATTAGACTTTTTTTTTTTTTTTTTAGCAGATGCATCATGTTGACAGATACGTTTTTAAACACAGTTTAGTGAGTCAGTCGGTTAGAAACAACTCCTGTATCGACGACTTGAAACATTACTCCCACCGATAGTGTTTTGCTCACTGGGCTCGACGCATCGATGTTGCTGGATCCATCACTGCCTTCAGCTTTAGCAGACAGACCTTAAAGCAGTTTAATGATCAGTATTTATTTAATTTTTTTAAATGTGTTTATTTATTCATTCATTTCATTGAATACCAAAAAAAAACAGTCTATCAAATTTTTGATATTCTAAAAAATAAAAATACACCTCCATCCATGCATACCTACATATCCATCTGTATACATTACATACATATATACACACACAGACATACTACATATGTATTTCAAAATTTTAAAACAAAATGAAATGAAAGGCAGCAGAAAGAAGAAAAAAATCTTATAATATCTGCCCCTTTTTTCTCTGCTCTGAAACTAAACAGGGAAAAAAATTGTTATCTTCTGCAACAAAAACAAAGTCAGTCGTCAATCTCAACTAAACAATGATAGTATGAGCTCACTTTATACTATTTCATACTTCTTCAAGAATCCAGTCTTTAACATTCTCTTAAACATGTGCAGTGATTTGGCATTTTTAACATCATTTTGTAGTTCGTTCCACAGTTTGACTCCTTGTATCGAGGTACATCGTTCTTTCAAACTGGTTCTGAATTTGGGTTTCTTAAAAATCTGTGTATTAAAAACTAATCAGATATTTTTCTTTTTTTTAAATATACAAACTTTAACATGGTGTGTTTCTGTTGAGGTGCTGGATGTGATCGCTCCGCCCTACACATCAGACTTCGTCCAGCTCTTTTTACCCATCCTGGAGAACGACAGTATCGCAGGAACCATCCGCACAGAAGGAGAACACGACCCGGTCGCAGAGTTCATCGGTGAGTAAAGAGATCGATTAAAACTATACATTAAAATGAGGTGATGAAGCTTCTAATGATCAGATGTGTTTTTTTTTTCTTTTTTTTCCCAGCTCACTGCAAATCTAACTTCATTATGATAAACTGAGAAGGAAAACATGCTGGAAATTTCCAAACTCAAGGAGATGTGTTCTGGGAGACTCCAGGGTTCAGCCTGACATTTCAGTTTGGTCTAAGGAAATTTATTAATGAGGCAACAAAGGTCGCCGTGTCGGAGCGAACCGCGGCTGCTCCAGGAGACACCTCTGAAGTTGCAGCTAAACGTTTCTTCCCCCTCTTGTTTTATATTCTACAGTTTTAGGTTGATGCTTTTCTTTTTACAATACAAATGTTTTGTGTAATCTATTTAATTTTCTTATTAAAAACCCAAACATTAAAACAAAAATCCATCTTCTCCTTTTGCTGTAAAAAAAACTTAATAAAAATTGATGGAAAGCATAAAGTCTGATGTGTGAAGCTCACATAGAGAATAATCCCAAGAAGATGTGAATCGGCATTTATTAGCAGTTTGAAACAAAGCAGACGATTCAATGTTTGTGGTACAGATTGTTCAACATGAATTAGAATTAGTCCAAATCTGACAATAAGTGTTAATGAGCCACATTAAACTTGTATTTGTATCTGTGTTTTTATCTTTCACAACAATTGTGAGGCTGAATGATCTCGATAAGCTTTAGATAAAAAAAATAAAGCTTAAAATAGTTTGTCTCCCTAAAACAGCCAGCAGAAGTTTGGCCTTTTTCCGTAACAAAACTATTGACAAGTTGCTTCCTCCTCTGGACCTGCGCTTCATTGAAGATGGAACAAGAACAAAGCGGGGGAACAAACATCCTGTGGTTTGTTGAATAAGCACCAAGTCCCCACAAAAAAAAAAGGAGAGAAACAATCTGACTTATTCATCGTGAGGTTTAAAAACTAGCATCTGACATGAAGAGATGATGCATTGGCTCACATTGCACCGTACCATGAATGTTGAAATGAAGTGTTCTTAAAATAATAAACTATACTCCACACATCTCATATAAATAGAGGGAAAAAGAGTCCCTCTAAGTATGAGTTATTAATAGCGCTGGATAATGCATGATATTGCTAAAGAAGTCAAAACTTTCCTGAGCCAATTCGTTGTTAAAACATTATTGTCATAAATTTAAACACAAAAACTGAAAACCTGCCTCTAAAGTACTCAACGGTAGTACTTAAGTAGAAGAATTGATACTCACAGTCAAATCTTACTCAACTACAAGTAACAGTTACTTGTAGTTGTTAAAAGTACATGTTTTTAAAAGCACTTTAGTCAAAAATACAAACAAAATGTTATAATATCAGTATTTTTCTCTGTAATTTCATTTTATTTTTTTATTTTTATTATCAGTGTCCTGTCTGGCAATGTGGCAATAAGAATAATTGTCTTGATGCCAAAAAGAGCCCAACAGATTTTACTTTCACAAGTGGAGTAGTAGGGATATCGCCATAGTTTTCCTCTTGTTTCATGCATATACACTCACCGGCCACTTTATTAGGTACACCTGTCCAACTGCTCGTTAACACTTCATTTCTAAGCAGCCAATCACATGGCGGCAACTCAATGCATTTAGGCATGTAGACGTGGTTATTATGGATATCTATGTGCTGCGCTGTTTAACTCAACTCTCATTGGTTGTTCTGCCTTAAGTTCCGCCTTCTCTCTCTCTGATTGGCTGTTTTCTAGTCCGCGTGTGCTTGGAGCACAACATTGAAAATGTATTCACACTAGAATGCAGCGGTTACTACAATTAATATTAGGCTACAAAACTAGTCCCAATAAAAAAAATTAATATGTACACTAAAAAACAAAAACCTTTTTTTTTTTCTTTTATAAACGAAATATTCTGAGTCAGCCAGGAGTTCTGAAGACTGCTGGAAAAATGGGCAAATAAAGGCTGTAAGCCATCAACATTTCTGATTCTTAGCCACAGCCAACTAAAAAAGAAAATGTGAGGGTTTCCTTTTTACCGATATTAAGTTGATATTACTGTTTTCATTTTTTTGTTTTTATTTTTATAATTTTGATATAATAACTGATCTAAGTGGGTTGCTCTGTGGGGAAAGGCACATTTTACATTTATATTACTGTATGTTTTAAAGTCTCTATACTCCAGTTAATGATGAATCACTTACTAAATTAGTTGACGATTATTGAAATAATCAATTAATATGATTCATTTTTTTCAGCCCCAGATGAAATACATGAAATTGGCTACACAGAGTAACTACAGCCCAGATGTTCAACTTTTATAGTGAAGTTAATATTTTAATGAATGTATTATTTTGCTTGATACAGAGAGAGAATAGTAGGTACAAATATTAGAGTGGGGTTTAACTCTGCACTATTCTATATCTTCAAAAGTAAATACTGTATTTACCTTCTCTCTTAGTCGTTCAAATGAAACAGTTTTCAAAGTGGAAAACAGTCCTAATTCCACATTGATCAGAGCCGGTGATACTTCAAACATTGATAAACAGCATCTAATGAGTGTAGAGCTTATAACATTTTTATTAATGGAGCAAAATGTTGCTTTTCTCTTTTAACAATGAATTCCTCTTATCAGTACGGATGCTCACATCGAGCATAAAAAAGGGCATGCATATTACATAGCACCAATGACACCAGACCAATAGTGTCCCTACCAAAGTTCAAATCAAACCTACGCCCTTGCTTTGTAGTAGCTGTCCACTACAGTGACCACTATGCACCAGAGGGTTAATTTTTTTATGATTCATTAATTTATTTATCTATTTTATAATGGAGTGTTGTTTTATCTGTTGGACGGCACTGCTTTTAAAATAAGGAGACTGCATCTGCTTTGCAGAAACTGAAGTAGTCCAATCATGATGACCAATCTATAACTATAACTCGTGCCATTTGAAATATCAATGCAACGTTCATAAGCTGTATGCAACGTTCATAAGCTGTATGTAACGCAATTTCGTTCTGTATGCACCCTGTGCATACAAAATGACAAATAAAGAAGTCTAAGTCTAAGTCTAAGTCAATCAATTTAGAGTATTCCCTCTTTCTGAGCTCTGTTTGGTCCTGTCACTAGCACATGTGCAAGCAGATATTGATCCAGGTCGCCATAAATAATGTAATTATAGATCTAAAAGTACTTATTTCTATCCTTGAATCACAAAAGAATGAATAACTGCATATCTCTGTTAAACTGCTTCTCTGACGTCATCCTCGGCCATGCTTAGAGTAGCAGTCTTTATCAGACCATATTGTCCCCAAAGTTAGAAAATCTCGGTTTTAAAAGGCTGTCTGCGTTTTTTTCCCCGCTGGTGATAAAAAAAAAGGTCAGAGTGCAAACTTGTAAATCAGACAGTTTAAACATGACATGTGAACAAAACTGTCTCATAAGTGCAAACTTGTTTGTGAAAAAGTGAAGCCTCAGTCGAGCAAGCAGACGTGACACAGCAGACATGCATGAGCTGCATTATCTTCACTGCACAAACTATATTTTCGGTATCTAATAATTTTAGAAAAAGATGGGCAACATGAACTCTATCATCTGTAGATGTTAGATGAACTATATCATCTATAGATGTGTTATATTATGTTGAATCTTTTATAAGCTAACTGCAGCATAAAGTTGACCATACTGTATATGTGTAATGTCTGAATGTCTTTCCATAAATTGTTTTTACATTATAATGTGTGTGTGTATGTATGTATATATATATATATATATATATATATATATATATATATATATATATATATATATATATATATATGTATGTATGTCCTCTTTTTATTCCAGATCATGTGCAGCTGCAGGTCTAACTTCCTCTGTCTTATGGCATTTTGACCTTGTGTTTTTTGTGTTTTCTTACATGCTGACAGGGAGATTCTAATTGCTTTCTGTTACTGAACTGTATTTGCTTTAGCTTGAAACAGCACAAAAACAGCAAGGAAAAATAAACCAAAACCCACACATTTCATGAACTGTCTGATTTTTAATTTTTCAAACGAACTTAAGGACCCGTTGAGGGAAAATCTAAGTCTCTCAAGCCTGACTGTCAGTAGTACTTCCTTCACCCATCTGTTGTGAGATGGAGGATGAGGATGTTTCCACTTAAGAGGAGGGTGACAAAGGCTAGAAGAGTCTGAATGGCTTTAGAGTTAAAGGGCTCTAAGGGGACACCAAGCAAAGCTAAGTCAGGATCAGGAGTGATGAGAGATTTCAGACCAGAATGTGGCAAGCCTGGGGCAGGACCAAAACATATGGGAGTGGTTGGCTGGAGATTGTTTGCACCTATTACACGAATCAGTTACATTGGGAAAAATCCAGGACAACCTTCGATTAGTGTAGTGGGCTTTATGTACAACTTTACATTGCAAGAGGCTGTGCCTTGTGCAGATTGAAGAGTGAACCATCTTTAAAACCTGTTGCCAATAATCCTCAGGCAACGAGGTTCCAAGCTCTTGCTCCCACGAGTCCCTGGGTCCAGGTGCCGAGGCATTGGCAGTGGAATTAATAAGCCTGTAAATGCTAGAGGTCAATCGTTTTTGTTCAGGGTCAAGAGCCAGAAGGTGGGAGTTTACGTAATTCAATGCGTTTGCTCCGTAGATGCCGTGTTGTAAATAAATACACAGTGAAATAACAGAATGTAAATACATTTTTTTTTCAGTGAATATTATTGTTTAGCCTTATGATGTCATACATTCCTTTGATCCCTCATATATATGTGAGTTCAGAATCTTTGAGTCATTGTGTCGAAATAACTTTTAGGGTTAAGAATGACGATCTCTCTAACCTAAAAGAAATGCGTGAAAAGGAGAAAGATTGAAGAATTATGTGGACTCAATGATGAACTTGATAGAAACTTTCCTGAAACCATCTCTACCTCTGATGTGAAAAAAACGGTTTAAAGCGGAGACGACATTAAGCATGACGCATGACAAAAGGATCAAGGAGCTTCAACTGGAGCAGATTCCCAGAAGGCTTTCATGGAGAAAATCGCTGCAGAAACGGAAACGCAACACCACCAGGTAGGAAGCATTAAAGAGCACTTAATAGATCCAATGATATTGAAAGGTCAGTCCAAGCTTGCAGTAAAGCAGCAGAAAATGCTCAGAAAAAATAACAAGAATGTGGAAGAACAGGTTAAGAGGTTGACAAAAGAAAAGAAAAACTTTCAGATCAAATTAAAGTCGTTAGTGGTCACAAAAAGGGCTAAGGAGTTGATTACAGAGTAGGAGAAATAAAAAAAAAATCCTGAAGCCCAGACCTGTTTAAGGTCTGCTGCTTTGAACAAAGTGATGCAAGACAAGATGAGGAAACCAATAACTTCTAGAAAACCCTATCAGATGTATTCATCATTTTGATTACATATCACATTAATCTTCTTTAGAACCAGTCCAATGTGAAAGAAAACCTGTGCCTGCTAACCAACAAAACGAGAAACAAGAACGTTTCTGCCATACGCCGTTATACGTTAGTTGGCTGCTTTTAGATGTTGTCAAAGTTTCCAGCAGCAGAAAAAGTCGCTAGATTTGGCACTAGGCACTTTTTTTTTAAATCAAAGTGCTAGAGGGGTCTGAAAAGTGGCTAAATATGGCGACAGAAGTTTGCAACAATGCTCTTCACACAGTTTGGTTGTTTTCAAATGGTTTGCTGCTGTCTGTTCGGACCTTTCTAAACATGTGCAACAAATAGACTGATCCAATATGGTTGACACTGAAGGGGGGGGGGTTCTGATGGCATTTTAGCAAAGGATTTATATCAAAAACATAATTTAACAAATTAGGAATAGTTGTATTAACCATACATGTTAACTAGGGGTGTGCAAAATAATCGTAATGATGATGCATCGTGATTTTAATTTTTGTGATCTACTGCATCGATTCTTGATGCCAAGTATCGATTATTAATAAAAAAAATTCATAAATAAAATTGAGAGAATGTTTGGCAAACATCAGCCAAAAACAAGTGTAATACAACTTCCAGTCCAGTAGATGTCACTGCGGATGTGTTGACGCACACTGCCTTGTGTCACAAGCATTTCCGGCCGCGGGATACTGCGCCGAGTCATTAAAAAACAAAACATGGAGGAGAAAATATTGCAATGCATCGCAATAATTCAAGTATCGTGATACATCGTGATAGAATCGCATCGTGGCCTACGAATCGTGAAACGAATCGAATCGTGACTTCTTTGGCAATACCCACCCCTAATGTAAACATGGGACCCCCAGGAACTTGTGGCCCTTGGCAACTGCCTGGTATTGCTTAATGTTAAATCCCCCCTGCTTATAGGGAGCATGGACAGAGTGCTAGACAACTTAACAAAAGAATCCAGCAAATAGCAATGAAAAGCAGACAGTTTTTAAAGCCTCAAACTCGACGCTATTTCTGACACTCTGAATTGAAAAAGCTTCCTGGATGGGAAGCAAAACATCTTCAAACTGGGAAACAGTTTTTTTACTTTTTTGGATTAACTGTGAACTGGATGACTCAGAGTCTTCACCGGCATAAAGTCTGTCATGTGAACCTTGCAGAGAAAAAACCCCCAAAAAAGATGTGAATCTGTTTATTAGCAGTTTGAAACAAAGCAGATGATTCAATCTTTGTGGTATAGATTGTTCAACATGAAGCAGCATTAGTCCAAGTTTAACAATCAGTGTTAATAAGGCACATTATAGTTTGATTTCCACTTAAGACTGTAGTGCAATAACCAGTAAATGAAACATTCAGTGCGTGTTTGCTTTGGTTTGGTCACAAAAAAAAACAAAAAAAAAACCCAACACTAAAACCCAAAGGTGTAGTCTTAATTGTAAAAAATGTTCACAGCATTTTTACTGATTCAAACCCTCCACCAATTTAAAGACAACAAAAAACCAGGTTGAAGAATTTTACTCTGCAGATTTCTCCGCAGTACGTGGCATCGATTTTAAAGTAGAAAAATCCCTTTTTGTTTTTATATATATAAAAAATTATAATAATCAAGGTTTCCCTTCAGGAAGAAGACGTTTCAGCATGGACCTATGAGCTCGTCTAATGGTACTCCTTGGGGACGATGGGGTCTCCAAACATGCAGTCCTCCTCCAGCGCCAGGTTGTACTTGCTGCCGCTTCCTCCTTTGTAAGCGCTGGTCACAATCCTGAGCCAGCCCTTCTCACCCTGAGGAGAGGCAAATAATTACAGAAAATCAGTCTGCTAACATATATTTATATAAAACTTTGAATTTGAATTCTCAGAAACCTTTAAACTGATGTAAAAAAAAAAAAAAGAAAAGAAAAAAAAACAACAAACCACCTCACAGCCAAGCTAGTATAAGGTTAATTATTATTAATAGACGTTGGTGATCACACTCTTTGTCTCCATCTAGTGGTCAGAATATTTATATGAATGCTTACATTTACATCTTCAGTATTTGCCACATTTCAACAACCTTTAATTAAATTAGTGTGTGCTAGCTACAAGGTTGTTTTTTTAAAATTATATTTTCAGTCAGAAATAAGTTTAAGAATGAAAAAAATGCTACAAATGTTTTTTTTTTTTTTTTACATCAACAATCTTGATTGACAGATGACCTTTGATATATAATTGGCCGAATTAAGCTGTTCAGGCTGATGTATAACTAACTGGCCAGCATGAGATAAGGAATAATAAAAACACAAATTTTAAGACAGATAAAGACGGATAAAGAGCCAGAACGATTTGACATTTAAATAGGTTTCCCTACCACTTAAAAAAAAAAAAAACAGAACATGTTACGGAATAAATATCAAATCAGTTCTTTATTTTATTGGGATAAAAAATTGGATCATTCTGATTTCTAGCTGCTCATGTTCCTTATATATCAGTTTACAAAAGATTCACAGCCTAAAACTTATTGATCAATCAGCAGTTATTTAAAGACAGTTATTGACCTAATTTACCTTTATGAACTAATATGGATTGAATTTTGTATCCTTATTGCTGCAGGCAAAGAATATGTCTGTAAATGGAAATTTGAAAAAAAAAGTGAAAATTTTCATCCATTTTCCAATTAGTTTTTTTTTTTTTTCTTAATCGGGTTTCACAAATTGTATTTTTTTCAAGTTGTGTTTTTCAGATCACATTGTGGGGACGGCTTTCGTCTGGAAAGAGGAGCAAAGACAGATTTCGCATGGCAACAATACTGTATTGGTCAATGTGAGCATTAAGAGTGTGATCTGTAAAGCACAATTTGAAAAGAATAAAATTCAATCTGAAAAAGCAATTTAACAAAAAACTATATATATAGAATATGAAATAAAATCTGAGAAAACAGCAAAGTTATTCTCGAAACCTTTAAATTTAAATGTTTGTCAACGTTTCCATTCTGGATTCCACTTATAAAGCTGTAGCAGAGGACTCACCCATGGTTCCCCCCAGGAGTTGCGAACGACCCAGTATTCGACCCCATCCTCTACTCCCCATCCTGCCACTGACACGATGTGGTTGATGAAAGCCTCCTCCTGGTATTCAGAGTACAGACCTCCGGTGTACGCATCCAGCTTGTCTGTGGCCATAATCCCACAGCTAAAGAACAGAAAACATCTCAGGTCACTTCCTGTTTTGGATTAACAGTGTAAAAGTTACACTCAGTAACGAATGACTCATAAAACCAATCAGTAGCATTGGTTTCTGCAATATAATGTAAAGACGTAGAAAAAAAAATCTTTATTTTCTTACAACTTCTGTTTGTTATTCATTTGTTATTTAAATCCCTGCATCGTGTCTTTATGTCTTACTGGTGTAATTCCACTGCTGTCCTTAAAGATAAAAAGGTATTAAATCATGGAGCTTGAGAATCCAGGCGTGTGCATTATTCAGTTTGTATCTAATATAACTAGCACAATAAACTGGTCAAATAAAAATATATACTTTTTTTAATACAGCTTTTTTTTAAACATTTAGGCTTTTATGTTTTTTTTTAAAGATCCTTTTAATACAAGAGAAAATGGATGCTTCTCAATCGTTATCAACTAACTCTAGATTAAGTCAATCGATTTTTTTTATGAAAAATAGACGGACGGACACAAGTCCAAAGAGTATTTCCTGAACTTTCACCCCACTGCTTTGCTGTGATGGTCCATTTTAAGCTCTTCAAACTGTTAGAAATACGTCCTTCTCATTTCAGACTATTTAGTCGCTCCTGAACGCACCTTTGAGCCTTTACATTTTCGAGATGGTGGATGTACCACAGGTATAGTGCTGGGCGATATGGAAAAAATCATATATCATGATATGGACTATTTTATATCACGATAATGATATATATCGCAATATGCTCCAATTGAGTACATTTTCAGCAAATGTCTGAAAAATATGACAAAATAATATAATAGCTTAGTTTTTCAAATTTATTTTGAAGTGACATTTATAGAACTGTCACAAATTAGAAAAATAAATTGTAGTGCAACAATATATATGCAGAAGATGAGGTGGAAGTATGGCTACAGTATCCTTCACATTTTTTCAAATCCTACGGGTATTTAAATTAAATTACTGTGGTTCTTCTTTAGGTATTAGAAGAGGTTTGTCGTGTTGCCATCGGGTAAGGGAACAGTCTTGTAGCATAGTTTGCAAATGTTGTCTGCTCCTTGTTGGACTTGTTAAATCCAAAATGTAACCAAATCACAGATGTGCCCCCTCTTTTTGGTAAAATTTCTTTATCTTGGGTTGCCTGCGTAGCTGTCTCTGTTTGTTGCGACCACAGGTTTAATACTTCAGCCTCCTGCGTCTCCAACTCTCATGAGTTAAGTAACGTAAAGCATGTCGCAAACCCGCGTGCGAGTCAAAAACCCGTAAAGAAGCGTCATGTTGCAAAAACCACAGGACGCCGCTTCTTTGTGGATTAAAAAAAATAAATCTTGTTCATCACTTATAAGCTGTGTGTAGGCTACGTGGCTACACTAATACGATTGTCGTAGTCTACCATGGGAAATATTTGCATGAATACGAGATACAATTGTGTTAGAAACGATAGAATAGAATTAGCACGATAGACACTTTTCTATCGTCCGTACGATATGTATCGTCTTATCGCCCAGCCCTACACAGGTATATAGTGTCTTCTAAATCACTTGTTATTCTTGCTGCTCCTCTATTAAGGTCTGATTTAAGGAGCATAAAACTACCAACATTCCTGTTACAGATTCTTGTCATGGTTGGTTTACTGCTGTCACATGCTCCTCCCATTTTCTTATTACTGCTTATATACACTCACTGGCCACTTTATTAGGTACCCCATGCTGGTAACGGGTTTGACCCCCTTTTGCCTTCAGAACTGCCCTATTTCTTCGTGGCATAGATTCAACAAGGTGCTGGAAGCATTCCTCAAGGAGTTTGGTCCATATTGACATGATGGCATCACACAGTTGCCGCAGATTTGTCGGCTGCACATCCATGATGCAAATCTCCCGTTCCACCACATCCCAAAGATGCTCTATTGGATTGAGATCTGGTGACTGTGGAGGCCATTTGAGTACAGTGAACTCATTGTCATGTTCAAGAAACCAGTCTGAGATGATTCCAGCTTTATGACATGGCGCATTATCCTGCTGAAAGTAGCCATCAGAAGTTGGGTACATTGTGGTCATAAAGGGATGGACATGGTCAGCAACAATACTCAGGTAGGCTGTGGCGTTGCAACAATGCTCAATTGGTACCAAGGGGCCCAAAGAGTGCCAAGAAAATATTCCCCACACCATGACACCACCACCACCAGCCTGAACCGTTGATACAAGGCAGGATGGATCCATGCTTTCATGTTGTAGACGCCAAATTCTGACCCTACCATCCGAATGTCGCAGCAGAAATCGAGACTCATCAGACCAGGCAACGTTTTTCCAGTCTTCTATTGTCCAATTTCGATGAGCTTGTGCAAATTGTAGCCTCAGTTTCCTGTTCTTAGCTGAAAGGAGTGGCACCCGGTGTGGTCTTCTGCTGCTGTAGCCCATCTGCCTCATAGTTCGACGTACTGTGCGTTCAGAGATGCTCTTCTGCCCAACTTGGTTGTAACGGTTGGTTATTTGAGTCACTGTTGCCCTTCTATCAGCTCGAACCAGTCTGGCCATTCTCCTCTGACCTCTGGCATCAACAAGGCATTTCCGCCCACAGAACTGCCGCTCACTGGATGTTTTTTCTTTTTCGGACCATTCTCTGTAAACCCTAGAGATGGTTGTGCGTGAAAATCCCAGTAGATCAGCAGTTTCTGAAATACTCAGACCAGCCCTTCTGGCACCAACAATCATGCCACGTTCAAAGTCACTCAAATCACCTTTCTTCCCCATACTGATGCTCGGTTTGAACTGCAGGAGATTGTCTTGACCATGTCTACATGCCTAAATGCACTGAGTTGCCGCCATGTGATTGGCTGCTTAGAAATTAAGTGTTAACGAGCAGTTGGACAGGTGTACCTAATAAAGTGGCCAGTGAGTGTAGTTATCTGGTAGATGTTAAAATCTTTAAAGCAACCCTGCTTTAAACCTACGCAACGTTAAATTCAATTCAATTCAGTTTGTTTCTATAGCGCCAATTCACAAATGTCATCTCAAGGTATTTTACAGTTCACCGGAGCATCCTGTCAGATTGATTTAAAGTTTTCTATCTAAGGAAAACTAGTTGATTGCATCGACTCAGTGGCCGTTTCTCAATGTGTACTTGTGTGTTTTCATGTTCTCGTGTGCTAGTGAAAAGTCATCAGCCTCAGCCCTGTTACTGTTCCAATTCACAGGAGACCGAGAATGGACAAATTCCCCGGATGTTGTTCTCGCCCCTCCCTCTTTACCCAGCATGCATCAGAGCAGACTTGTCCGTTATTGAGATTGACAGCTGTCCCAGCATGCACTGCGGCAGCAGCAGCTTCCAGGTTAGCACTCACAGAGCTCAGAGTATTACGTTAAATGTTCTCTTTTCTGTTGCCTTTGTTCAATAAAAGTACGTTTTAAGATCATTTGAGGCAAAAACACACTTTTAACCATCACTATATGGCCCATTTACCGATTTAATTCGTAATTAAAGAAAAAAAAAAAATCAGAAGTTGAGAGGACCTAGCCCGGCTATATTTGATGTTCATTTGATTTGTGTTTATCTGACTGTGTTCATTATTATTTCCCCACTAAATGAAAAAAGTCTGAATTTATTATTATCTAGAGGCTATTAATAACAAGAGTTGAAATGCAGCTCCAGGTGAGCAGAGCGTGTGATGATGTCATCAGTACGCTTCTGTTCCAATTCACCCATATTTATGATGCGTGCTCCCGTTCTCCCAGAGTCCACACATTACTGGGTTCTTCCCAAGAACATACTTAGCGAGGACACGAGTCCGTACTCGTGTTCTTATGAATTGAGAAACGACAACTGAGTTGAAGGCAATCCCTCACACTAAGCATGCTTGTAGTGACAGTGGAGAGGAAAAACTCCCTTTGAACAGGAAGAAAACCACCAGCAGAACCAGGCTCAGTGTGAGCGGCCATCTGCTGTTCAACCAACTGAGTGATGTTTTCTACCAAACATCAGAGACCTTCACAGAACAGCTGTGTTCAAGCAGAGATGAATCCACTCAGAGGTTTTGAGTGGACCCAGATTTTATTTAGGGGTGCTAGAGTAAAAGGGGCCCTACTTTGGTGCCCAGCAGTGCTCCTCAGGCACTGCTAAAAGCTACTGCTTTCAAACTGATGAATTAAATGCAGTTTTATCTGAATGATGAAGCAGATTTGATGAAGTAAACTTTCAAAATCTCCCTTGAATTCTGAACAAAGTGCTGCAAACCTGATCGGTCCTCTGGCATAAATCTCAGCCATCATCTTCTCTCTCCCGCTGACAGAGCCGTAGTCGCCCACCTTCCACATAGTGTAGTTCTGGACAATGTTGCACTTTCCAAACGTGGTGCAGGTGCCACACTGGTTGAATTTGTTGCATTCTTTGGGAACAGAGCAGGTAGAGGTGAGAGTCAAACTGGATGCATAGCTGCAGTTTTATTTCTCTATATTTTAGGGGCTCTCTTACCCTGGTCTTTAGCCTGGTAGTTGTTGCAGGTCTCATCTGGGATGCCGTGGGTGTTAGCATACTCCCAGACTCCGCTGTGATCCCCTCCATGGCAAGTGCCAGCATCAGCACAGTCGATCACATGCTGCACAGAGAGGTACGCAGAAGGCCAGGCTCCTTTTCTCTTGATGTTGATGCGATCTAAAGGAGGAGGAGTCAAGCCTTAAGACAATTGGAAAGATAACCACCACAAGTTTCTGATTGTTGCTTCCTCTTTTAGAAGAGGAAATGAAACCGCCTCATGCATGTAAAAATACATTTTCAGTCTTATGATGAAGCCACAACCACTTATAGTGTTTTTAAAGCGCCTGATTAATGAGACCTGTGTCGACTCATACCTGCCATGGCGCTGGTGCTGCCATGGGCCCAGCAGGAGCCGCAGTACTGGGGGATGTGCTGGTTGCGAGTCGTGCTGACGAAGTTGGTTCCGTTGACGTTCCTCCAGTCCCACGCCTTGGGCAGCTCAGAGACATTCAGGTATTCATGAGGCCGAGGACCGGATCTGGAAACGGAGGAATCTCATCAGCCGTCTGTGCATCCATTTATTTTAGACATCTACAATAATTATTACAGCCGAGAAGATTTTTAATCCCTTCCAACCAACACTTGTTTTATGGAGCGATCACTCTAACTGAGCCTTTATTCTCAGATCAAATGTGTGAAACTGGATCATTTGTTTTTCACCGTTTGGTTTCACTTCTTGGGTTAAAATAGAACTCCACTTACAGCAGAAAGCTGCAGAGAAGCAGCATCACTTCTCAGATGGACTGACGCAGACATGCAGGTTCTACAGGGATAATGTTCCCAATCTGCACAAATATTAATTTCAGTTAACAGTAACATTCAGGATTAACTTCCTAAATCTGCTAACTGCTGTGCTGCAGTGGAACCTTTCCGGCCATCTGCTAATCTGCACGCCTTCTTATACATTTCTTTTTTGTTTAATCTAAGACTGGCTTAACATACGTCTGCACTGCATTATTCTTTTAAGCTATTCTTTTCAGCAAAATAAATAAAATAAAATAAAATAAGATAAGATAAAAAAAAAAACAATGTAAGGATATTCATGCATGATTACAATACTGATCTTAACATACATTCTTAGAAGCTGGTAGAATGTGATAATATCTTCCTATAAAAGTACAAGCACACTACAACACTAAGATATATAAAAATACATATATAAGAAAAAATAAAGACAAGCAGCATACAGTCGGTGTCTGTCTTGAATTAATTAATCATATAAACATGCAAGAAAAGGGAATTTAACCATTTTTGGAAAACATTTGTTTTATTTTTTTTAACAGAGAAAAATTAGACTTAGATTCAACTTTATTTATCGCTTGGAATTACTTCTTCAGGGAAATTCTGGTTCCAGTAGCTTATATAGAGTACAAAGAGTTAAAGCAAGATGCAATTAAAGATAAAAATACAAAAAAGCATAAAAAAAAAATAATAATTTGTAAATTTCTGGAATATGTTTCCTTTAGATGTAAAAATATCTGCACAGCAGAGACCTAAGTAGTTGAATTCAATTATTGAACTGCAGAAATGTACTGACCTTATAAATAAGTTTTTTAAAAAAGTACACAGGCTACACAGTAGTTGCATGTTTTATTGCAGAGAGAGACAGTAGAATAATGAACGAGTGAAAATAGGTAGTGCTTTGAATAGGATGTCTAAGGACGGGGATGCTGACCCTTGTTCCTCTTCCTATCACCTCTTTTTTACCCCCAGTGATGAGTTGTACAGCTTAATGGCTATCTGCATATAGCTGCAGATCCTACTGCCGATATAAACCAAAAATCATAGCTAGTCTTTGAATCCATGCATGTCATATTTAATATGAAACTTAAGGTAAAGAAATATTTAGATAGATGTTGCTACAGAGGGAAGTTGTTGAAATGTTAAAGATATAAACAGCTTTATTGGTACATAATAAAGGCAATCATTAAAACATGTTGCAGCTGCAGTTTTGGCTGTTAAGGTTACCGAAGAACGCTGCTGCATTAAGGGCCTTGCTCCGTTCTGATTGGTCCGTCTATTTTAGATAGGAGAGTATTTAGCCTTCCAGACTGACCTAACCGTCTCATATAAATCAGGCTAACCATGCTAATGAGCCATTTATATTAGGGGTGTAAATTATAATCGTTTTGTATCGATGCATCGATCCAAAAGCCGACGATCTGATGCATCGACACGCCCGCAAGAGAATCGATTCATGTTTTTTTTTTCCTCCGGTCTATTTTTATCCATTTGCTCCTGGGCGTAATTCTCCCTCCCGTGCTGCGGTGGCGCTAAACCTATTTTGCCCTCCTACCGCGCTTCCTGGTTATACTCTTACAGCAGTTTGTTACAGTAAGCTTGACACAGACATTTTTAAATTATGCTCAGTATTGAAGCTTGGTCTGAGCTACACACTGTGGGTCTAGATACGGCCGAGGCGGCGAGGAAGTGGGGGCGAGTTTAGTCCGATGACGGAGGGACATGAGGGCCAAAAAGAGCGGAGATTCAGCTGGAAAAAGGGTCCCAGCGTTCTCGCACACCTCGCTCTTCTAGCGGGTCAAACTTCACGAGTTGTTTTCCGCAATTTCAGTCATAAAAACAAAACAAGCCGGCCTCCTGTCTGCTGCACTGTTTGCGGTCAGCTACAATCTGGGAGAGGTGCAGCGGAGCGTCTCTCAAGGGGGCGGTGACGTCGACACTCTGAAGCCTTCTTCTTCTTCTTTTTTTTTAATGGCGGTTGGCAAACAACTTATAGGTGCATTACCGCCACCTTCCAGAATGGAGTATGGACCAGACAAACTATTATATTCTCCCTAAAATACCCGTTCTTCTTAGAAAATTAAAAATACTCCCAAAAACTACATCCCCAGATGACCTTTGAAACAATTCCCTTATATCTAGTTTATTTTTATTCCTGTCTAACTCTCTACGCAACATCTCTCTTTCCTGAATATATTTATTACATTCTAAAAAAATATGTTGGACAGTTTCTCTGGAGCCGAGGTATTGCATTGAACTCATTACACTGATATTGTGCAGTATTTTTGCAGTATTTTTTGATGCAACTTTTCTACTTCTGTTATTTGCTGTTGTTTCTAAAAAAAATGCATAATGATATTACAGCTTTCATTGATTTATTTCAAACTTGAAACTTTGTTTAGCCTGTAAGGTGTAAAAAAATAATAAAAAAAAAAAAAATGCTACCGATTAATCGATTAATCGAATCGTGGTGTATTCTTGAGTATCGAAAATAATCGAATCGTTGGGTCAGGAAATCGATACTGAATCGAATCGCTATGATGGGTGCGATTTACACCCCTAATTTATATCAAAACCTGTATAAGTCTTCATAATCCACATCAGGTACAGAAAACAGAATAAGAACTTTAGAGTCAGATATTTAATCTACTACATCATCTAAATTCAATGTTACGATTTTAGCAGAAACTCCAAAAATCTTCAGTAATATTAAGCCTACAGGTTAGTTTTTTCAAAACAGGTTAACTGAGGAAATTATGGAATAAACCATTCATTTAACCTCCCTATATTTATGCTGCTATTAGCTTAGAGTTCTGGAGGACATAAGGACCCCTTTTTCCATCATATCTCTATTCTCCCACTCTGCAGAATCTGTTAGTTCAATTTCCAACGTTCTGCTCTCTCCGCTTTTTCTCATAGTAGCTTCGACTCATCTGTTCCTGTTTGATTGTGACTCCATCAAGGAGAGAAATATCAGCAGATGGCCGCTCACACTGAGCCTGGTTCTGCTGGAGGTTTCTTCCTGTTCAAAGGTAGTTTTTCCTCTCCACTGTCACTACAAGCATGCTTAGTGTGAGGAATTGCATTCGAGTCAATGAGTCGATGCAATCAACTGATTTTCCTTAGATAGAAAACTTTAAATCAATTTGACTGGATGATCTGGAGAACTTTAAAGTGCCTCGAGATGACATGTTGTGAATTCTTGCTATAGAAATAAACTGAATTGAATTAACAGATGCTACACACTGCAGCTCAGCTGGCTGAAAGCAATAGAAAATATTCTCCCCATAGCTGGAAAAAAAGACTAACCTGGCTGCAGGAAATAGGTCTTTGCAAACATCAGAGTCCTGTTGATTAAACTAAAGCAGAAATATCTGATGAAAGCAAAAAGAAGTGAAACTTTGCTATTTTTACTCAATGTTAAAGGAATAGTACACCCAAAACATGATTAGCCTTCATTTTCTACTCACCCCCATGCTGAACAACACTCTGGAGTACTTTTTTGATATCTCAAATGCATCTGGAGATCTGGGAGGCTTCTTGCTGTCTGCTGACATTCAAATAATGGAGGTCTATGGCGCCCGAAGGCAGAAAGGTCCTTAAAAGTCCACAAAAAACGTGTCAATATTCCTCCATACTGCTCGTCCAATGTATTCCAAGTGTCCTGAGTGGGTAGCATCCAGAATTTACTCGAAACGAAGTCATTTAGAATGTTTTTAGAGCATAAACAGTAGTGTATAGGATTTCCTAAAAGCGCGTTCACGACGCTACGGAAACCGGCAGACCAAACCAGCGCATTCAGCTCGGCAAAGAACTCATGCTCTTCCTCAACACTGAAGTCCTCAGACATTTTTCTTTCGTTGTTTCTTTCTTTGCACAGGTAAACAGCACATTTCTTCTTCTACGCTTGCATTATCGGCAGAGCAGACGCTGAATGCGCACTTTCATCTGGTTTGGTCTGCCGGCTTCCGTAGCGTCGTGAACGCGCAGGCGCGCGCTTTCAGGAAATCCTATACACTACTGTTTATGCTCTAAAAACATTCTAAATTACTTCGTTTCGAGTAAATTCTGGATGCTACCCACTCAGGACACTTGGAATACATTGGACGAGCAGTATGGAGGAATATTGACACGTTTTTTGTGGACTTTTATGGACCTTTCTGCCTCGGGCACCATAGACCTCCATTATTTGAACGTCAGCAGACAGCAAGAAGCCTCCCAGATCTCCAGATGCATTTGAGATATCAAAAAAGTACTCCAGAGTGTTGTTCAGCATGGGGGTGAGTAGAAAATGAAGGCTAATCATGTTTTGGGTGTACTTTTCCTTTAATTTACAGCCCAAACCTCATCCAAAGACATGACTTTCTGAAATGCCTCAATGTGACTGTTGAAGTACAGTTTTTAAGGTATAAGCAGAAGGCTTTGGTTATGTTGGTACTATTGCTAGGTACCAAAAGATGGTCAGGGGAATGAATAACAAAGTACTGTAACATTTCCTGGTAGATAGCTGCTTTGGAGGGGATCCTGCTGCCTCTCTCCACACTCTTCCTCCAGACTCAGACCTTCATTTACTAATCTGAATGCACCATTAACTTTAGAAGGTGGACTTTGGACCACTGAGCAAAAGTCCATTTTTTTCTGTTTCTCTAAGTAGAATGCATAGCCTACGGAAGAGGATTAGGGCCACTGGAAAAAAAAAAAAAAAAAAGTTAACTGATTTTTTTTATTTTATTTCAGTATAGTATGGGGAAAAAAGTCAGAATTCTGACTTTTTTTCTCAGAGTTCTGAGATTAAAGTCAGAATTCTGACTTTAATCTCAGAATTCTGACTTTAATCTCAGAATTCTGACTTTTTGCTCAGAATTCTGAGATTAAAGTCAGAATTCTGACTTTAATCTCAGAATTCTGACTTTTTGCTCAGAATTCTGAGATTAAAGTCAGAATTCTGAGTTTTTTTTTCAGAATTCTGACTTTAATCTGACTTTTTTCTCAGAATTCTGAGAAAAAGAGTCAGAATTCTGAGAAAAAAAGTCAGAATTCTGAGAAAAAAAGTCAGAATTCTGAGAAAAAAGTCAGAATTCTGAGAAAAAAGTCAGAATTCTGACTTTTTTCCCATCTTAAACTGAAATAACACGATGATTGAGCTCGTTAGAGCTATCTTTAGATTGTAGATCTTTGTACACCAGAATTTCCCCATTGTGGTAAAATAAAGGGATTTTTCTATTTCTATCAGTGAACTTTCTGGTGACATTTAACGCTCAAATCTGCGTAGATTTGATTTACAGTCAGTTTCCTCTTTTAATACTTTGAACCATAACTTCCTCTGTCTGATTTCTGCTGAATCTCGTGGTTTGCGGTGAAATGCTGACGGGGAAACTTTAAAGGCTGTTTGCTTGATTATTTTAACATAAACTGGAACAAAAAACAGGAAGAAAATGAAACCAAAACCCGGAAGCTCAATTCATTGCTCTAATTCACCCACCAATAAGACCCTGTACGTGAAAATAAACTGTCATAAAGGGACATTTTATGAAGAATTTTTTTATCTTTCATAACTTGTTTACCAAGCTGCTGTTATTCTGATCAGATTAGCTAATGGCTCAGCTAACAGACCGACGCCTTTAAAGCCAAACTTGAGATTAAAACCAGAGTTTAATAGAAAATATTGACGGTTAGGTGAATAATGGTGAAAGCAGTCGGACATACCTCAGACCGAAGTTGTTTCTCCTCGGTGAGCGGACATAACAGGGCTTCTTCTGGTTGAAAAACACCCCGGCGGACACAGCCGACAGTGCGACCGAAAGCAGGAGAAAAACAGCCGCAGTCTGAGCCATGGCGGACAGAGAGAGGAGGGGAATAGCAAGGGACTAATGGAGCCTTCTGCAGAGGAGACGGGCTGTAGACACTGATGGGGAAGTCTCTGGGTATAAACAGCCGGTGTTCCGAGATTTGGGTCACATGACTGAAACAGGCAGCCACATGTCCAACCGGCACATCACGAGTTCAACACGACATGACTGAGCGCTTTATAGAGCTCAGCTCAGCACAAACTGATTTGTGGAGGGAAGAGGATTAGGAAAAATATATATATATATGTTTTAAAATGTTATTTCAGTATCCCTGCCAACACACCCATGAGGGGCCCATGTGGGTTGGATGGTGGGCGGGTTCCATGGTTGCCCCTTGTGGGCAATCCCACATGGGCTAAGGGTGGGTTTCACATGGGCCCCACACTGGACCCTGGGCTGATTATGGGTCCTTATTATGTCCTACACAGGCTAGCCTTTATTGTTACAGGCTATTTAATTTTGGAGTGGGTTCTTATTTTGTTTTATTATTGTATTATGTATTATTTTTTGTGAATGCTGCTTGTCAAGACTTTGATCCAATCAACCGTGAGTTGCCTCTATCCTCTATATATAATAAAAATGCCATGCCATTATTCAAGCTTTTTTTATTAAGTCAAATGGAATAAGTATTTTACAGATTAAATCAGATGCATAATACACACACAATATAATACAGATTATAACCAGTTGAGAAAGTGTTATACATCAAGAAAAAAAAAAAGGTCCCATAACAAATGTTCTTCCAATGAGCAAGATGTGGATCTAGTGGGAAAAGGAGGGACTTGAGGGACCTGTCTGGCCTGTCTATTGCCTCCCCTGTCCCTTGATCCAATCAGCCATTTGGAAACTGCCCTCTCCACATCCTTCCTGGTGATCTGGCTGGTTAAGGCGTTCTTCTTTAAAGCTCCTGCAGGAACATGAATATGTTATGGTTACTTCCTGTGCCAACACAACTCTCATCAAGGATTGTAAAGTCAACTATGTTGAAGTGATATTCACCCAAAACTGATCACTTTTATATTAATCACTCAAGGTAGTCACTTCCGCTTTGTAGCAAGTGAATTTGCAAATGGCTATGACTGCAGGGAAAACCTGAACTACAGAATCTTGAGGGTTCGAACCACCATGAAGAGAATGTGCATTTGGCGTGATGGTCTGGAATAAACTCCAAAAAGAGCTGAAGCAATAACCAAGCATGAGTCTGTTCTACCCATGTTGTTTTTCAACATGTACGATGATGAGGAGGGGAGGTGAATGGTATTAAAACTGATTGCTGTGGGATTTGTGGGTGTGTACACTCACCGGCCACTTTATTAGGTACACCGGTTCAACTGCTCGTTAACACTTAATTTCTAAGCAGCCAATCACATGGCGGCAACTCAGTGCATTTAGGCATGTAGACATGGTCAAGACAATTTTCTGCAGTTCAAACCGAGCATCAGTATGGGGAAGAAAGGTGATTTGAGTGACTTTGAACGTGGCATGATTGTTGGTGCCAGAAGGGCTGGTCTGAGTATTTCAGAAACTGCTGATCTACTGGGATTTTCACGCACAACCATCTCTAGGGTTTACAGAGAATGGTCCGAAAAAGAAAAAACATCCAGTGAGCGGCAGTTCTGTGGGCGGAAATGCCTTGTTGATGCCAGAGGTCAGAGGAGAATGGCCAGCCTGGTTTGAGCTGATAGAAGGGCAACATTGACTCAAATAACCACCCGTTACAACCAAGGTGGGCAGAAGAGCATCTCTGAACGCACAGTACGTCGAACTTTGAGGCAGATGGGCTACAGCAGCAGAAGACCACACCAGGTGCCACTCCTTTCAGCTACGAACAGGAAACTGAGGCTACAATTTGCACAAGCTCATGGAAATTGGACAATAGAAGATTGGAAAAACGTTGCCTGGTCTGATGAGTCTCGATTTCTGCTGCGACATTCGGATGGTAGGGTCAGAATTTGGCGTCTACAACATGAAAGCATGGATCCATCCTGCCTTGTATCAACGGTTCAGGCTGGTGGTGGTGGTGTCATGGTGTGGGGAATATTTTCTTGGCACTCTTAGGGCCCCTTGGTACCAATTGAGCATCGTTGCAACGCCAGAGCCTACCTGAGTATTGTTGCTGACCATGTCCATCCCTTTATGACCACAATGTACCCAACCTCTGATGGCTACTTTCAGCAGGATAATGCGCCATGTCATAAAGCTGGAATCATCTCAGACTGGTTTCTTGAACATGACAATGAGTTCACTGTACTCAAATGGCCTCCACAGTCACCAGATCTCAATCCAATAGAGCATCTTTGGGATGTGGTGGAACGGGAGATTCGCATCATGGATGTGCAGCCGACAAATCTGCGGCAACTGTGTGATGCCATCATGTCAATATGGACCAAACTCCCTGAGGAATGCTTCCAGCACCTTGTTGAATCTATCACTAGATTTCCTGAGGTGGGTGGCATTCTGATCAGGTGAAAAGTGAAGGTGAAAAGTTTCTTTCTCAGCGAGACCAGAGGATTCCTTCCAGGGCTTGAAGGACCAGCTTTATCCAGTGGATCTGTAGAAATCCTGACAAAGATTCACAAGAGAAAAACTGGGTAAGAACTTGAGGTCTCAAAAAAAAAACATAACTCAAAGTATTAAACTCAGAGGGGCTAGAGTACCCAATACTGGCAAAAGCTCTGGCGAGGAGATGGTGACAGTCTGGTGGATGCACTGAGATACTGAAAGAGAACAAAAACAACCCCCACAAACTCCTTAAATCCCCCTTTTCAGACAATTTACGTAAGACAATAATCAATAATAAATTCAATTCAGTTTATTTATATAGCACCAATTCACAACACGTCATCTCAAGGCACTTTACAGTTCACCAGATCATCCAGTCAAACTGATTCAAAGTTTTCTATCAAAGGAAAACCAGTTGATTGCATCGACTCAGTCATGATCAAATGTCATATCTTTGTATACTATGCTATGTACACTGACAAGTTTACTAAGAGGAACATTTTGTTTGTTTTATTAGCTTCTATTTCTGTTCAAATCAATTACATTTATTTGGAACGGATTTTTTTTTTGTTATTCAACCTTTAACCAATTGCTTTTTTTCTGTGGTACATAGAACAGAAAATCCCTTTGTCCCACAATGGGGAAATTCTGATGTTTACAGCAGCAAAAAGATTATACAAAAAATGTTGCACAAATATAGACCTTAGCAAAATGTATAAAAATAACATAATAGTGAAGAGTTAAAAGATAAAAAATAAAGTACTGTAATGTAAAGTGTTATAACAATACAAACATTGTTGTTAGGTTGTTCGAAAATTTATTTATCTGTCATCATTTGTATTATTTGTTAATTTTCTGGAATTAACAAATAAAAGTTATGGGTGAGTGGTGGCCTAGTGGTTAGGGCATAGAGCTTGGAATCCTAAGGTTCTGAGTCTCAGCCTCTCTCCCACAGACTGTCACTCTGGGGCCCTGAGCAAGACCCTTTACTCCACACTGCTCCCTGGGCGCCCCACAATGGCAGCCCACTGCTCTCCAAGGGGATGGGTTATATGTAGAGGTAAATTTCTCCAATATGAGATCAATAAAGTTCAATTATTATTATTAAATAAATTCCATTCATTCATCAGTTAATTCATTAATTCCTTCATTGTTTATAATTCAGCAGCAAAAATAACTTTACAGAAAGAAATCATATTGAATATATAATTTCATATCTCAATGTAAAGCATAGTGAGGGAAGCAGAAATCTTTTCATTAAAGGGAAAATACTGAGAAGAGGTAAATGTGTGTTCAGTAGAGATGGTGGGACAGCATGTTCCTACAAACCATCAAGAAGGAAGGTGGGAGATAACTGATTCACAGCTTTAACTGCATTAAATTATAGTACTAAATAATTTATCTTATAAGATTTAATCCTGAATTTGGGCTACGCTTCCCAGCCAGGTGGTGGCGGTAATGCGCCCCCGATACACACCAAGAAGAAGAAGAACAACAAAAGGTAAAACTGATTGCAGATGTGATTATTTAGGGGGGAAAGTGGACAAACTTCTAGTTTGGGCCGGGAAAAGAAGGGGATGACACAGAAGGCGGTGATTGAACTCAACAAACAAAGACGGCGGTAGGAGCTAATTTGGCGGATCACATAAGCTGTACATTGACTGTAGTAGCATGGCTTCTACATCAGGAGGAAGTAGTGGAAATGAAATGGAGTGGATGTTATCGAGGTCAGCAAGAATGAAAAGAGCAATCAGAAAGAGACATGAAAGGGCAAGAAGTTGGTCGGATGAAAGTGAGCTAGGAGCGGAAGGAAGTAAAAGGACAAAAATAAACCAGAGAGTGAGTTCACGGGAACAAGATAACAGTAATACAGAAGTGGAATACAAAGTTGTGGTGGAATTTCAGCAAGAAAGGGGTTATATTCATCCGATAAAGATAACCAAAGCAATAGAGGAAGAGATAGGGAAAATCAAAACGGCCAGAATCATGAACAACAGAAAAGTGATAATTCAAGCTATCAGTGAGGCACAACAACAGAAGATAATCAAAATGAAAACTCTGATGGGAGAACGAGTTAAATCACATATACCAGGTTTTATGGCAAGGTTGAGAGGAGTAATCTCAGGAGTTCCACTTGAAATGACAATGGAGGAGGTGAAGAATGAAATCAAAGGAGGGAAAATAACAAATGCCACCAGGATTAAAAGTAGAAGAGAAGGGGAACTCAAAGACACTATGGCTGTGATATTGCAGTTTGAAAATAACATGCCAGAAAATATACAGCTAGGATTTATGAACTATAAAGTTAGAGAGTACATCCCGAAACCGCTCAGATGTTTTACCTGCCAAAGAATGGGACACATTGCAAAAGATTGTAAGGGAAAAATTAGATGTGCAAGATGTGGAGGACCACATGAATTTGGAAAGTGTGACAAAGACGCCAAAATCAAATGCTGTAACTGTGGTGGTGAGCATAGTGCAGCCTATGGTGGATGTATAGTTCAAAGGGAAGCTAGAGAAGCCCAGAAAA